GTAGTGGTAGTGGTAGTGGTAGTGGTAGTGGTAGCAGCCGCAGCAGCAGCAGGTTATCTAACTTCCACAGCTCATCTAGCTTCTGAGTCACTGCCACCAGCTGTTCAGAAAGCAAATGAACATTCATACAAAAGTACATATTTAATCTTTCGCCAGATCTTTCGCCAAAAAAAAAATTACTTTCGCCAACTCGAGAAAAAACTTTCGCCAAATGAGATTTTGATATGTTCCGGGTCATCGTCATACACACTGCTGACTAGGACCTTTAGATCGACAACCATATATAGATTCAATATCCTTCAATAAGGAATCATGCTTCATGGAAGGCACGCGCCAGCAGACTGAGCCACTTCAGGAAAAACATTGAAAAACAAACAAACAAACCTTCGTTTCTGTGCCACTCCTCCATGGCCAAGACCACATGAAAGGACTGTGCACCATGCGCCTGAGCCAGAACGATTGAAAAGAGGTCAAGAATGCCTCACGTGCCATGTAAGAACGTATTGACCACACATGCCAAGAACCTGTTGACATGCCACACATGCCATACCCAAACAAGAATTATATAGTAGCAGCAGCATGGAATAGTTTTCCAAGAGACCTGGATCTCTTGCCTCTTCAGTGCTTATAAGGCCAAGCTACACACGAACACTACCATTCGGACAAGAAAAGCCAGTCATCAGTTTGTTGTTCCTTCCGAAGGGATGACTTTCGTCACCCTTGCAAACCTCCATCCCTCTGCCCCTCTCCATTCGATCTCCGGCCTGTTTGGACTGTCGTCCCCCCCACCTGCGCCAAGGAGGTCAAGGTCTGTGAAAGGATCTGCTCATCCTGGCGGATTGGGACAGCGATGGAGGGTGTGGATGGAGGGTGAATAGAGGGTGGTGGCTGGCCCCAAAGCGGTAGAAGCCAAACACTTGGCAAAGGGCCACCTGCTAAGACTGCCAAAGTCTTCCCAAAAGGGCTGTCTGTGGTTGCTTGTGGTTGCGAGTTGCAGGCCGCCAAGAGCTGTCTGAATACACAGGCACTTTGCAAACAACAACATGATCAGAACCTAACCACGCTCATTGATAAATCAGTCAGGTATGGTCCAAAAACTCGACACCTGCTCGGATCCAACTAATTACAGTCTTCTGTATTCTAGTTCATATCACTTGTCACACTCTGCACCCCCGCTCCAATCTTTTTCACCCGCACAGGTTTCATGCAGGCCACCCGCTACCAGCGGCGCGCGAGAGTTTTCACGCTGCGCCGCTGGAGCTGTGCGTCTTCGGCGATCGCCGCGAGAGCTGGGCGCACCGCGCGGAGATACGGGTTTACCGCCAAGCGCGTGGAAGGCTGAGGGGTGGACCAAGGAAAGAGGAGAAACCGCTTGCACATTAGGCACCTAATTAATTACATGTGTGTCAACCCTTGATTGAAGTTCATGAACCATTCACCCCTAATCATCCCTGATCCTAATATTATGAGTGTCTATACTTATTTATAGTAGTCTAGTCTACTTGGTTCACTCCCCAAAAGCGGAACGACGGCTTCGAGCTCAGCTAGAGGCGCCCCAGAGATTGCGAGAGCTCCGCGCGCCAGGAGAGTGGCAGCGCCTGGGTGTCATTGGCATCGTCCTGAGTGGCGGAGTGTCGTGGCGACTGAGTGCACAGAGCGGTGAGTGACCCCTGGGTGGACTCCCGGCAAGTCATTGAAGGTATTGAAGTGAGCTGGATGAGTCAGGGTGAAGAGCAGTAGAAGATGGTAGAAGTGATTCAAGCCTGAGAGAAACGTCTACGCCAAAACAGACATGCCGGGCATGCTGCTTCCCCACAACTGCCCCACAACCCATCTTTCTCAATCTCAGTGGTCCGGGTTGCCTTTTGCATCCTTTTACCATCTTTAACCCCTGTGAAGAACATGGACCTGAAAACCACTGATTGGTACTGGTAGAGGAAAACAATCTTCTCCAATAATGGTCCAAGGGGTGGTAGATTGGTCAGGGTAGGATAATTCTTCGGCAGCTTTCACTGCAGATGGTTCAACACACTCCTCATCCCGCAGCGACCACCAGCGACTCCACCTTCGGCCCAAGTGCCCAAAGGGACTCGTTCGGCCGCTGGGCGAGGATGTCCTCTAAGCCGCCGGGTGGACACCTGCGTGTCGTCACGCCTTCACCGACAGATCCAAACCCATTGGTGCAGGATGAATAGTTCAGAAGATGCCGGATTCCCAGAAACAGGCACTGAAACATCTGAAACAGATTGAAACAGTTAGATTCTAGTACCTTGTTCGACAGTCATCGTGTCTCTAACTTCTCTATATACCCTCCTCCGTGGGAGCTCAAACACCCTCGGGCCAGTGCGCTCGCCTATAGAAGGTCAGCCATCCTCGTCCTCAGCCAGAGCCGTCCCAAAGATGCAGGGTCAAAGTCCTAAGGCATCAGGATCTATATGGATCTATCACTGAATCACCCTGTTTCTGAAGATGGTCCCGATGGCTTGGGATTGACCCTTTTAAACAAATCTATCACCCTCCCGAATCCTGTCATACACTGCTCAGAAGGCGAAGGAGTTTTATTCTTCCAGGCAGCTGAGTTAGGGCTGTCAGGGTGTGTCTTAGAGGGATTCGGCCCAAGGAATCCTCAGGTGTCTGTCGCAACGGTTTCATAGCGATCGGTCAATCTGTGGCACGGCCACCTTCCCCGGAAATGGTCGGAATCCAACCCCGACACGAAGGTACTGGACAAGGAAAGAGTCTTCAGGTGTTTTGCTTCCATCAAACAAGACCTCTAGCAGGACCAAAATGGATGGATTGTGTTTTGATGTGTTCGGATCCTAACCTAACGGCTGTTTTGAATTTTCTGGTGCACAGGCCCATCTATGGATCCATGATCCAACAGCCTATCTTCAGAATTGGGCCACCCCCCCCAAATGCCTTCTCAAAGGGTGGCTGTGGATCCCACCCGCCGGACTTCTGCTCGTGACTTGTGACGGACTCACCGGCCAGGGATCTCCGGGAAAGTTCCAAGAGATGGTAGAGAAGAAGACCCAACCTGGGCGGGGCAGTGAATAGCCATGGGCCGTGGGCGACCTTGAAAAAATTCACCCCTGCTGCATTTTTGGAACACGTACAGTCCTTGCATTTTGGAGGCAGCTTGGTTTGGGCGACGGTGGCATGTTTGAAAGAACAATCTGCAAAGGTTTCTGCAAAAGTTGATCGAAATTCCTGCAGCATCCCCTGCATACTCTTCTGGCACCTGTGGAACTGGCTCAAATTCGCTTGCCCAACCAAACACCCCGGTTCGCCGCTTCGTCCCTGCTGAGCCCGCGACAGGATGGAGCCCAGCAGTGAGGCGACTTGAAACCAATCTCCTCGCAGACGAGGGGGACTGCCGACAAGGAGGTTTGGGGGGTCTTCGTGGCTGGACAAGCGGCGGGGAGTCGCAGACTCCAAAGGCTTTGGGGAGTGCGAAACAAGAAGAAGAAGAAGTTGTTGTTGTTGTTGTTGTTGTTGTTGTTTGGTTCCTAATGCGCAGAAGCTGTCGGTGCGGTCGGTAAAGCATATACATGTGCATACGATTTTTGGAGGAAAACATTCTGCACCACTTGGAATTGGATGAAGCTGCTGGTCCTCTGACGAAAGGCATAACCAGCAAGACCTTCAGTGATGGCAGCTTGCGTTCATGTGGATGTGGTATGCAAACTGCACGTTGATGCTGTCGGACAAAGGAACCAGTTTTGGGTTGTTGTTGACTCAGTGGCAGGAACATGATAAACTGATGTCAATGGATATCCTCCTTCATGTTATATCAAGGGCTGCATATTTCTGGTGCAAGACCTCAGCTGTCGTATACCCCTTCCCGATGTTCTGGCACCCAGCTCGGGCCCTGACCAAACAAAAGGCGAAAGGCATCAACAGGAGAAGGCAGCAAGCCTCAGTGAGACGCTTTCTTCGTCTCCTCTGCGTTGGGAAGAAAATGCCAAATGGCTCAGTCGTGTCTGAGACTCCCGACCGCCAAACTTCGACAAGGCACCCTGAAGGGGCCTTGGCACAGCTCCACTGATGAAATTACTATAGTGGTCCCCAAATAAATAGAAATAGAAACAGTTTCCAATACGTACATTTTCAGTGGGGATCTACTTTTACTGTCTAGTCTATATTTATGGAAATTTATGCCACTCATTGCCAGCAGTTACAAGTGATGAGTCTAGATTCTAGATTCATTCGTCCGGTGATGAGTCTCTTCAGCAAACACAGAAGATACGTTTATGTCTACAAAGGCAGGGGGTTCATGGACCTCTCCTGTGGGACGTGGGACATCATGGGTTTCGGTCGTTGTCACCATCGACTCGGTCGTCAATTCTGAGACTCGGTCGTTCCAAGTCATCGTGCTTTCCTCGGTGGCACAGGATGGCACCAAGGCATGAGTCCTCCCGAGTCGGTGTGCTCCATTTTTGCCAGTCACTGCCAGGGACCCTGGCACCCACTTGCAACTCTGCAGCAAATTCCATGAATGTCCAAGACCTTTTGTTTGCATTCTTTCTTTGGAGCTTCGGACCATGCTCCCTGTCTTTGGTCTTCGTTCTTGTCTTTTGTGAATTAAGGACTGACTTGACACCTGTGGATCCGCAGCCGATGATGCCGTTGCCACCGCAGTCTTAAACACCCAACGGGGAAAAAAATCAAAGCCACAAGAGGCCAGGACACTTCGCAAATGAAGAAAGGCTGAGAACTCAATGACCTGCAGAGAGGGATGTTCAACCGGGATCGTAGCAACTTGGGACAACCGACCTGATAGGCTCCGATGCAGAAGTCTAAGAAAAGGACGCGCTAGAATGATGTTCCAAAATGTGCTTGTCATCGATTCATGTCTAGTAAAACGTGCCTTAGCTGCAGGCTTTGCTTCGTGTTTTGCAGCATTTACACCTTGTGTCAGCAGCCTCCTTCACACAAAAATGGTCTAACAACAAAGAGTCCCAAGAGGAACTTGCACCAATGTTCCACACCCTGACCGTACCTGCGCCACGCAGTACACGGAGTTCAGCATGTTGATGATGGCGTTGAAACTGGAGAAAACGCTGAGGACCTCAGCTCAGCCACAGTTCGCCCAGTGAAAAAGGACAAATCATCCCCTTCCAGGTCGACATGAACACCCGCGTGTTTCAAGGCGTTCTGGCGGTTTGGTTCCAGGGGGAGGATGAAAAACAATGCATCCAAAACATGAGAAATCGTTTCCACTACCAAAAAAACTTCTGAAATACATAAATTATATATACAGAGATAATGAACTTATCATTATCATCATTATTACTATTATTCAATATTCATCAAATAATGTCCCTGCTCATGTTTGTTGTCACTGTCCACCCACGATGCCAAAAGAAAGCAAACTCCACTTGGACCGCACCCTGTTCCGAATGTTTGCCCCTGTGAGGTGCAGTAGCTGAGGACCGCACCAGGACTAACACTGTGATGACAGCAAGCGGAAGAGACGGGGTGTCAAAGCGAGAGCGATGTGCAAAACACGTTGGAAGCCAGCCGTCTTCTGCCATGCCTTCGGACAATCCGAAGTCGCAAGAAAAACAATTGCAAATAAGAGAACAGCACCAGGTTACCACGAGTTCCAAAGGAATGCTTCTCAGACCTATCCAGTTAGTGGACAATGGGCACCCATAAATACCGAGGGTCCTTCCAATAAGCATCGCCGTGAAACTCTGGGCAGCACAGGGGTCTTTGGATGAGTTCATGCCCCATGGAAATCTCCAAACATTTGGTTAAACAGACTGAGATGTAACAACCAAGGATGACTAAAAATGAGTCCCCTCAAGCTGTTCTTTAGTTGTGGGAAGTCTGAAAGTGATCCATTCATTTCAGAAACAGTGATCTCTCTGCCTGAGGTATTGGTGTGGAAAAACATGTGGAATAGTTGCTAGTCTGCGTGTGGGTCCATCTTGGAAACTGCCGCTCAACCTAATTCAACGAGTCTTAAACAGTTCCAGCGGATGGTCAAGCATGTCGCTGGAAAAAATATGTTTTGTATGGCTTGGCTAACACCACAGGGGCCCAATGTTCAGGTATTATCTTCGAGTGTCCTTCGTTGAGCACCCCAGAACACGCGGATATAATCTAGCAACTTCGGCAAGCCAAAATGATCTAGATTTGAATTTGCGATAACTGTATAAGTCAGTGGACCAAGGATGGTTCCCGGTACCTGTGATCACTGCACTGCCCAGTCTAAAGCCATGTTGGAAACTCCTATAAAAAGTCTCTTTGATGTCTAATTAGCGCCTTCAGGTCTGAATGAGGGACCTGGCTTATGCGAGAGGAAAAACCCTTCGATCTGGATGTTTTGTTGCCTTTTCACACGAATGAGAAAATGCGTTGCACAAAATTGCCCTAGGCAACTTGTCGGTTTTGAAGCTCTTTCATTGCGCCCTCTTGAAATCTTCTTTATTAGCCTGTGATGGAAACATTATAAGGGAAGATGTTGCGAACAAACGGTCACTTATTGAAACAAGTTGTTTTGAACCGTTCAACCTCTTCCTAGGGCCCTGTGGCAATTTGATACTTCATGTTTTTTTTGCAAAACCTGTGGCCCTTTCGAAAGTTGGCTTGTGAGTCTGACGGAAACTTTTCAGTCCGGCGTCGCCAAGGTCTCCCGCTCGGAAGAAACAATATTGAAATAGTCAAACCATGTCAAACAATCTCAGCGCCTCAACATCATCTCTGACCACGCGCCCTGCACCGTGCCGCGGGCGCACCGCTCGCTTCGCCACCCGCGCAAGCCTTGCAATTGAAAGGCCGCCTCGGCCATCTCCGACAGCTGCTGGCCCAGGCAACTCACGGCTGCGCCGGTGATCACCCAAGACCTCGGGGCACGTCATGGCACGTCCGTCCGCCAAAGGGTTGTTGTTCAGTCCCATCCAGTGGATGTTCACCCTGGAACCCCTCCAAGTGCGGGCACCATGGATCATGGCTGGTTGTTTTGCTTGTCTTCGGTGGTGCACAAACGAGATCAAGCAAGTACACACCGAGTTGGTCCCAATTGAATTCAAGTCGGGATCATGTTGGATCTTCCCTACTTCCCCCCACCAAGCGGCTCCAAGATACTGCCTCCAAGCCTGATCAAGCTGCGCCAAAGCCACACTCAAATGAACATACATCAGACCTAGAAAAATGTGGCAGTGGATTCCACAATGGCGGAGATCTTCAAGTGGGTAATGGATGGTAATGGGTTGGTGGTCTTCTACCAAAAGACCAAGGGTCCATCTCAAATGTCTCGAGACATCTCGAGACTGATTATGGCAACATGTCCAAAATTGGCTGCTACCGAAGGGAAAAAGAGTCGGTTCGTAGCAGAATACTTCACTCCAGGAGAGGTTGTCAAACCATGTCAAATCCATTGGGCAGTTCGGAGTTCTCAACCGCCCATGTCTCCGTGTCTGACTCCGCCTTCGGCCCATCAGCGCAAACTCTCCATCTTGCCAGTTTCGCCAATCGGAGGTAGCACCAGAGATGCCAAGCCCCACAAGCCTTAAAGAAGGCAACGTAAAGAAGAAGATCTTGAGATTTTGAGCAGTCTCCTTTCCAATTCTTCCATTGCAGGACCCCTGGAGGGTTTGGCCGCTTTGTTCCTGCTTTTTCCCTATATCGATTGGATGATGAACTTTCCTTTCGAACCTCCACGTGTCATCTTGGGCTGTTGGCATTGAAGAGATTGCGAAGGCAGCGCAATAATGCTGAAGATTCAAGACGTTTCTGACTATTTTTGAGTTGAATCCTTGTTTTGCCCAAGCCACAGCGGCAAGAAGTAGGAGAGGACCACAGCCACCATGGCCACACCCAAGGCTTTGGGATAAGTCGTGCTGACATCTTGCACCTCTCCAGCTAGAGTGGATGCTGTATCCCAGTAGTTGAGATTCCAAAAGAGGCAATTCCTCAGAGCTCGGAGGGCACTGCCCATCGGCCCCCCCACCAGGAGTTCGGAGTTCGGAGGAACGTGAGCTCTCACCAGCCGTGTCAGTTTCATGCCAACAAACCTCCACAAACTCCCAACAGGGCCCTACCAAGGACGGTATTAGGTGGAGGCCATCGCAAATAGGTTGGAGGCCATCGCTAGGTGTCGGCCCGAGCGCCTCTCAGCTGGTGCACCCGGGCTGGCCAAAGGCTCGGGGGGGACGCGCATCCATGTTCGACCCGGAGCCATGGCTTCCCTCGATATCAGAGGGCACCCTGGTTTCTTTGACGGGCAAAGCATGGTACTTTGATGAAGCTGGCCAAGGTTACAAATGCACTTCTCTGCTGCACGGACAACCCTTTTTGCTGCGAGGAAGCACTTTGACCACCGAACGGTTCGCGGTTATTGGAGCTACAGTCTCCATGGTGGAGGGTTTGCCGCATGTTGAAACCCACCATGCAGCGTTGAAAGAGCACTTCATGGTCTACAACAAGGCTGCAACTGAAGTCATAGATGCTTGCTCAGGCTATGGTATTATGACAGCAGGCTACAAATGGATTGACTGCACGGTTCGATGCCACATAGAGCTCAACCCCAAATATGCCACATGGCTTCGTTCCACAGGGGCCAATGTCATTGAAGGGGATATCGCGAGCATTGCTGTGCAAAAGGCTTTGGTCCCTTACACATGCATGCCATGTATCCTCACTGGAGGTTTTGCTTGCCAGCCCTTCTCCCAACTGGGCGACAAACGACAACAGCTCGACCCACGGGCAAAGAGTTTCGAAGGGATGCTGATTACATGCTATCTGCATCAGCCCATTGCCATGATTCTGGAGTGCACCAAGGAAGCCATGACCTCGACGTGGGTACAGGGAACCTTGAATGCCTTTTGCAATCGTACAGGATATACCTTCCAGCAACAGCTGTGCCATCTCCAAGATCTATGGCCGGCCAAAAGGTCTCGGTGGTGGGGAGTTTTGGTCCATCCAATGGTCACCATGCCACCACTTCGCAGGTTCCCGGCCTTAGACTTTGTGCCCTCATTCCGCCACCTAATTCCGAAGCTTGCTGAATGGCCCGCTCAAGATCTGACAGAGCTTCAACTGACAGCCCATGAGTTAGAAGTGTTTGCCGAGCAGCCTGGGGGCCTTGGTAGCAACTCTGTCAGCCCGACAAGGCCTTTGATGACAGCCCTTCACGCATGGGGCTCACAGTTGCAGGCATGTGCATGTGGCTGCAGGGCAGGTGGCTTCACGACCAAAAGGTTGGAGGAAAAAGGATTGTATGGTGCGCTGATTCCCATGCCTGGAACCACCAAGGTTCGACGCCAAGACATTGCAAATATGCGTCATGTCCACCCAGATGAAGTTGCCATTTTGCACATGGTACCCACTCGGTACATCCATCAAGGAGACACCAGCCACCTTCGCCTTGATCTCACTGCACTAGGCCAGATGGCCTCACCTGCCCATGCATTATGGCATGTTGCACAAGTGATCCAAGCCCTCGGCACCGCCTTTGGTCTGCCAGTGCACCCGATGTTGGCCGAACAAGGCCTCCTGCAACTTGGCATCGAGACATTTGCGGCACGTGATGAGATGTTGAAACCTTTCACACACACGAGGGAATCCAGCCTCTTCCAAACGGCCTATCATGCCAAGTTTGGTAGTCAGCACATCCTACCCACCGATGACGACTTGTTTCCTGCGGAAGCGGGTCTAGACAACCGACATCAAGGGGAGGGAGGAAACAAACGAAAGGGTGCCCCAGGGATTGAAGAGGACCATGACACAGATGCATCACAAGGCATCACACCGACGGGGGGGCTCGAGTTTTTCGCCAATCGACCACACAGAACAGGCAGTACGCAAGTCATCATGCCGGCCGTAGGCCACTCCGCAGGCACGTCTTCGCATATGACCGGGTCACATGAAGACTACTCCGCCATCCGGAGGCCAGTCGAGCTAGGTGACAAGAAGATAGTGCACCCTGTTTCGCCACAGTCTGACCATCCCACCGGGGGTCCTAGGTTCGCCTATGAGTCACCCGCCGTCACCGTCATGCCACAGGATCAACTTGACGACCCTGATCATCAGAGAGTGCGGACAGACCTTAAGGTTCGGCCCGATTTTGCATTGCCGCCAGAGACCACTGAACAGAGTGGGATTCTTTCGTCTTCAAGGGAGAAAGAAAGTCTAGAGGCAATAGATCAGGAAAGGGTGAACCTGTTGAACAACAACGATCTCGGCAAGCTCATGCCAACTCAGCCATTCCTCATCACAGTATGCAGCAAGGGGGCCAATCCTGTTGAAGTGCGAGTCCGTCCGGGGTCAACCACTGGCCAGCTTTCCAAAGCCGAAGAGGGCATTGAGTCACTCGTGCAGCCAATTGTGATCACAACCATGACTGGCACACCATCGCCACTCGCAAGTTGGCTCACACCAGGGGCTTGGTACATTGTTGATAATGGAGCGACCCATTCTGTCCCAAGATGTGCAGACATCCATGCCCAACAAGAATGTGTACTCACCATCCAAGCCCATGACCGGTTACAAGGGCTACTCGTTCAGGGTCCTTTGGTTGCAGTTGACGAAATGACATTTTATGCTGCCATGATTCGCAACCAAGGCCACAATGTTGCAGATCCCATCGTCATCGACAGCTCTGACCAAGAGGATCAAGCACTTGCGACCTGGGTCCTGACATCCCTGCATGAGCATGAAATCACCAAGGACAGAACTTTGTTCCAGGTGCCAGTCCTCGTCCGAAGCCACTGGGTCCCCGTCGCCCTTCGAATCACATCGGCTGGGAATCGGGTCACAGTCCCTCAGGAAGTCATGTCACTCATCCAAGATCACCTGGTAGCTGACGTTGGACCGCATGAACTAGAGTTTGAGGCCAGTACACTGCCCAGCGCATTTCATGCCGATTGTGGCTTCCAAACTGTCAATTGCATTTTTGCCCAAACCATTGGTACTGACAAGCCGAAGCCGATCTTGCCTGCACAGGCTGACAACTGGAGGGTTTTGTTTGCAGTACATGCCAAGAGACTCAATCTCGAGCAAGCACCGAGCATTAGGGTAGGAGGTACCATGCACCCGGATCAAGTTTTGTTGCAAGCCTTGCTCGCTCAACATGGTGTCCACAAAGAACGGCTTGCAACGTGTGCAATCAATCTAATCCAGCAGCTGGGGGGAGACGAGATTGGGAAGGCCCTTAAGAGCCCCCAACCATGGAAAGATCTAAAGACCCTTGCATCACAAGCCTCTCCGCCCATTCGGATTGTGCTAGCAGCTGAGGTTGATGCGGCTGTCAAAGACAGATTGGCCACCAAGAAGCCATTCGGATCCAAGGCCAACAAGACCAAAGGACACCGGGGCACACGCCCACAGGTCATCCCGACTGCAGATCAGATCAAGCTGCCTGATTCGCTTTTCGTCCAGCAAGATGGCCAGAAATTACCGTCCATTCCAGTCCATAAAGTTGAAGCACATGCTCAGGGGGTAGCTGTGTGCAACATCCAGGATGCCTTGCACTTTCTCAGCTTGACGTCTCCGCTCAGTGCAGAGGGGGTTGCTCTCCTCATACTCGACCATGCTGACCCTCGACTGCCCCCACAGGTTGAGCAAATCAGGGTTCCAGCGATGTCGGCAGCAACCAGTGAGCCAATGCTGGTTTCCGCTGCCATGTTACAGCTGGGCAACAAGAGGGTCCTACGCCATGTGCCTGCTGAAAGTTTTGCCCTCGATGAGATCCAGACGCAGGTATTGAAAGTGGTGGTATACCAGGATGAATGGACCAGCACGTGGTCGTCTTTCCTGCAACATCCAGTCAAAGCGATCTTTGATCACCCAGTGATGCAAGATGCCGAGATCCCTCAAGCCGAAAATGTGATGGATGTTTGGGATCGACAAACGCTGGACAGCAAGTTGACACGCACACAGCCCCAGCAGGCAGAAATCTTTGCAGTCCTGATTCGGGTCACCTCAAGGCTAGCAGATCATTTGCTGCCAAGCGCCGGAGTTGATGGGGTCTACTTTGAACCCCGCACCATGGATGGCCGTCGCCCTGATCCACAGTTCCGGGTGGTCTGGATGCCGAAGAAGAACCTAGCACAAGTGAGACTGGCACGCAGTCAAACGGAAGCTAAGACGCACATTGTGCGGATGGGGCAGAGATATGGGCTTCGGGTACATCATGAACACGCAGAACAAGTTCACCACCAGCACCGACCTGACTTGTTGTTCCTGGATGGACAAGCACTCCGGCCGTACAAAGTTGGCCCATTTCCATACGGGTCCACCAAGGCTTCCATCTCGATGGCCTTCAAGCACTTGGGTTGGCAAGCTCGACCCGTTCAGCCGATCTCCCAAATGCAGGTCCAAGACGGGATTTTCTGGCAGGTGATGGCTCCTCACGAGCCTACACACTGGATCTAAGCTGAAACATGGTGACATCCTGATTGCCAAGATCGAAGACCACAAAGACACGGTCGTGCCAAGCGTGCACAATGTCATTGCATCCAAGAAGACGATCACTACCCTGGCACATCGGACACAAGAAAGCCACACTGACCCGTGGCTTCAACAAGACCCATGGCAATCCGGCAGGAAAGCATCACAACCGGCACCAGCTCAGAGCGTATCCCCTGGCCAGCTACAGGCACTCGAGCATAGGCTCGAACAGAAGATCCAAGCCTCCACTAAGGAGCCAAAGGAAGAAGGCATGCAAGTCGACCATACGGCCCGGATTGACGCTCTGGAACAACAGATGCAATCGCTGACACACAATTTTACTAGCTTCCAAAGCCAGCAGGTCAAAGTCAACCATCAGCTTGCCCATCAGCTGCAAGGAATGGAGGGCCGGATTGATGCGCGCTTAGATGACCAAATGCAGCGCATCGAAGCGCTTTTGTCCAAGAAGATGAGGCATGAGTGACTAGGGACCACTCATGCGGGGGTTTTTGCAAGCACAGTG